AAGTGGCCGTTTAGGAGGAGGTAAGCCATCAACCCAACAGATAGATGCTGGGCTGACATGACATCTCCCTGATGTGATGGTCAGCTTTGTTAGCCACTTCTTTCCTTCTTGGTCAGTTTTAAACTTCCCTGTTGCTCACCTTCGTACTTCTCCACTGCTCCATCTAGGGCAATCTCTTTTCTAATTTCTTCCTCAGCCAAACTTATAAATCCTGGGGTGTACTTCCTGGGCCCATTTCTCCTGTCACTGGACATGTTTCTAGGAAGGCCCCTTCTCCTACCACCACCTGCCATGGTCTCCCACATCTGTGCTCTAGTTTATAATAATGCTCAGATCCACAGAGCAATACCTTGATGTTGCTATAGGAACTTCTCACATGTAGGTCAAATCCATTATTTCTCTTCATCTCCCCCAAACCTTTCTGTCTTTGTTGGCCTAATTTTAGCCAGTGGCACTATTATCCACTCTATTATTTAAACCAGAAACCTTGAAATCATTCTCAGTATCCACTTCCTAGTTGTCTGTTTTTGAGTAAGTAACTTAACCTCTCTCCCCTCAGTTTCCTAATCCGTAAAATGGGTGTAAGGGTTATTGTGTGACATAATGGAATTACCACATGTAAACTGCTTAGTCTGGTGTCTGGCACAGAGGGAAGCCCCACTGCTAGGATTACTTCTCTGAGCAGAGTAGGCAGGAGGAGCCTCTGCCAGCCTCCCCTGTTCCCCTGGAGTGCCGGCAAGTGCAGAAGCCTGGGGGTGGCAGCAGGAGGCTGAGATCTATAGGCAGGTGCCCTGAAATCTATGGATGGAGCTGGATATGGTGAGTCGTGAATGAATCCCTTTCCAGATTAGATTCATAGGACCTGAGATCTGCTCTCTGTAGTCACATGCATGGTGGTATCATTCTTGGTTCAACATGTTCTGTGTCCAACATGCCAGCCTAGGAAGGGGAGTTGGCAAGCAGTTCGACCTCAGAGCCTTGCTGTTTTCTGTCCATCTCACCCTTTCCAGGCAATACTTCCCCTTTCTCTGACCAAATCCACCCTTAGGTAAGTTACTTCAGTTGAGTATATCTTAATATGAATATCATTAAACACAAATTTGATGTGATATGTATGTGTCCTATTGCAATAGAAAGAACATGGATTTGGGCGTTGGCCAATCTGTCTTACTAGCTGTGTGGCTAGCATCTTCCTTACAGGGGGTCATGTGTGTTAGATGATATGATACACAGTTTAAAACACCAGGTATGTCTTCAAAATGGCAGGTTCCTTGTGTTCTCTTACATCCACAGTAAACCAAACAGGAAGTTTGGGTTCCTCTTCTCCATTTACTCAGGGCCAAATGAGCTCCTTAACTTCTATATAATTCCACGTACTTGTCTACCAAAAAGGGATAACACTTCTTCTCTGGTAGCTTACTTCCCAGGATTCAGGAAGAACTGATACATTTTGTGCACTGTACAAGGCTGCCATGGCAACAGAAGCCCTGTGGACCACATCTAGACCTGACGCCTTAGAATGACAGCCCAGACTCAGCAGAGATGCGGGGGAGCAAGCGTTTGTGCACACTGCTGGTGGCGCTGCAAACTGGCTCAGCCTTTCAGAAGAGCAAACTGGCAGCCTCTGTCAGTGCAGCTCAGGTTCATCCCTTTGGACTTATTGATTCCACTTGGGGACAGACATCCCAAGGAAATCACATCCTCTCCTCTCCACCTGCTCCAAAATACATTTACCAAATTGTTCAAAACAAAGAACTGAACTTATGCATTATACAACTTAATGCATCTTTAAAGGGACTGGAGCATCTTCACACAAAGGAATGAGAGAACGTGACAGATGGGTGGGCCACGTGGATGTGTTGTTCAGGCCTCACACCTGGAACATGAGACTACAGGTTCTGCCTGTCCCATGAGGATGTCAGGAGTTAGTTCATGCATGAGAAGGCCTCAGCATCTGGTACACAGGAAACCTTCCCTAAATGTGCCTCATGATGATGATGATGGTGATGTCACCGAAAGTGAAAAAAGAAAAAAAGGAGAACATAAGAGAGCATGTACACGTTGACCAGAACACTGGCATCAGATACCAGTCATTTCTAGCATAGAATCCCAAGGAATGGAAGGTTTTAGTTCGTTGGCCTCCTTTTGTTCCCCACCCCTGCACCCCCCACACACTTTATTGAGATATAATTGGCATATAACATTGTGTAAATTTTAAGGTGTACAATGTATTGATTTGATACACTTATGTACTGCAACATGATTACCACTATCATGTTAGCTAACATGTTCATCACATCACATAATTACCATTTCTTTTCTGTGGTGAGAACGCTTAAGATCTTGGAAATAGTTCAGTATTGTTACCTATAATCATCATGCTGTGCACTGGATCCCCAGAACTCACTCCCCCCTTTAACGGGAAGTTTGTCCTTTTGGACCAACAGCTCCTCATTTCCCCAACCCCCAGCCCCTGGTAACTACCCTTCTACTCTCTCATTTCCATGAGTTCAATAGATTCCTCTTTTTCCCTAAATTCATAATAGATCAGGAAATAAATGAATAAATAAATACCTGCAAAACAAAGTGGCAACTAGTTTCAAGACCAGTTTAGCAATTTCTGTGCACTAATTCTCAGGCTGCAGCCAAGCTCATGACTGATTTCTAAATAAACCAACAAACCCTTCCACAGCTGGGAATGCTGGGAGAGCACCCAACTGGCTTCACAGCTGAGTGGCCTGTGTGGAACCTGTGCAGCTCAGGACTCACAGGGGTCTCAGCTGCAGCCCCCAGTCTGCCTGCTCTACCACAGGGCACCACACCCTGTGGCTTCTCCAAACTATGTGTTTCACCCACTTTGCCACATGCCTCCTGTATAATTCTGTAGCCAAACATGTCCCTGGAAATGATTTCTATTTCTAACCCAATGGAGGAAAGACCTCATGTTCTTGAGAAGCCTGCCTTGAGCCTGCAGAGTAAGATATACATCAGATAAACCTGGACAGTAGTGAGCCGCACTGACAATAAACTTGGGACCTCTTTTGTGGGAAGGAATGCTGGTATTTAAAAAGCAGACATGCTGGGAGCACGCACTCTCCTGCCTTGCTCGCTGGGGCTCCTCTCTCATCCATTCCCATATTGCAGCACGGCTGAGGTCCTTCTCCATTGTAGGGGCTTCCCTTTGCACTAAGAATAATGTCTAAATTCCTTGCCACAGTATTTGTACACCTTTCCTCACGCAGATGGCTTTTCCCCTCCTCCCTCACTCACTTGAGTGCTGTCTGTCCTTCAGAAGTCAGTTTGTGTCACTTCCTCAGCAAAGTAACTTTAATCGAGACTAGATCTGTTGGTTAAACATTCATCCTGAACTACTTCTTACCGCTTCCCCCTCTCCCCATTTTATTACTTGTCCCCTATCTGGTTTACCCACACTACTGGGAACCTAGGTGGACAGCCTGGTTTGAGTGATGTCCACTGTCCTTGCCCAGGAGCATATATATTTGTTAAATGTGTGGCTATATTCATAAATAAATGAATGAAGCCTGAAGGGTGAGCACGGAGGGACTTGGGCTCGCTGACCCCGCCCTCACCCATGGATGACTCACCCAAATTTCTGCCTCAGGTAGGGAAGGTGTGGTGATGTGGGCTGTCATTGGGGAAGCCTTTGAAATCACCCCTTCCACCCCCCTCCCCCAGGAAAAGCTTATACATCTGACAAGCCAGAGCTAATCAGACTGGTCGCTGCAGCTAGGTCAACTGCAGGCATCCCAGAGTGTCCACGAACACTTACCTGCACTATCGGTGTGGTTCTTACTAGCTGTGGCTTTCATCATTTTCTCGCTGAATGAAAGAAAAAGAGAGTCAGCTACACAGTTTCCAAAATGCCTTCTTTTATTTTTTTTCCCATTCCATTCACTATTCCAAGCAATCAGCAGCAGCTAGTGATGGTACCAAGCAATGAGGGTATTTGAGCATCAGCATCACTGCTGGCCAGAGTGAGAAAGGCTTCCCAGGTGTGCATCTGACACTGCTGGTGGAACGCAGCAGGGAGCACTCGCGACTTTCAGATGACGATGGAGGTGGAAATGTGGGGATGGAGTTTGCAGGCATGGCTCAGTGGGCCGTGAAGCCACATGCACTGGGAAGCCCATTTACCCTTCTTGGACCAAAGGGTCACCTTCGACCAAGAATTACCAGAAGGAAAAACAAACAAACAAACCATGATTCATAGAGATGGGGATATTTTCAGCCTTGAAATGATTATAAGAAAACGGATTTGAATGAATGAATGATCTTAATGATTGGAGAGAAACAGATTGAATTATGTTTAATTGGTTTGCTTTCTTTCTTTTTTTTTTTTTTTTTACCTAGATGCATCTTTGCTATTACTTGTAATGGGCCCTTTAAAAAGCGCCGACTGAACAAGGCCAGTTAAACTGGCAATCTGTTTCTCCATGGCTTGCATCCTCTCTCTGTAAAACAAGAGAACTGTTTGTTAAAGCTATATTGACTTGCAGACTGGTTTGTCCAGGTGAGTGATCACCTGTGGATTATAAAAGAGACCACCTGTTAGGCTGCCAGAGTTCATCCTAACCAGGCTCTGAGAACATCAAGAGCCTGTAAATTCCCACTGAGCTCAAGGCTTGATGATCAGTGTTGTATTAACCCAATAATTTCACTGAAAAGACATTGGACAGATCAGCAGAAGCCTCCTGGAAAAATGAAAAGTATTGCCCTCTGAAATAATCCTGTCTGTGTGTCATGGTTTTGAGCCTTTCTGCCCTGCTTTTGCTATTTTACCTCTGGCACCAGAGGTGTCTTAGGCCAGCCGTGACCTGGAGGCCCAGACTTCTAAGCTGTGCTCCTCAGATGGGAGGCTGCTGACTGCTTTTGGTGGAGATGATGGAGATACTTGTTGTGTGTATAGTAAAACTTGTTTTAGAGCCCAAGAATGACCAGATGACTGTCTCTTAATGTCATGGAGAAATATGATTGAAATCCATGTCTGGTAAGGGGTAAGAGTGGCTCAACCCAATGACATAGGAACTTTAGCCTGGGAGCTGGTAGAGGATGGAGCAGCAACACAAATATCCCTAACGGCTCAGTCATCTCGAGACATGAGTGAAAAGTCTGCCAGTGCACAGGTCCTACACCTCTCCGCTCAGGGCTTTTATGCTACTTCACAATTTAGCTGGCTTTTGAAAAAGGCTCTCTTTTCTGGACCTCAGACAATGGCAGTTTCATGGAGCTCTTCCCATTATTTCCAGCACATTATAAAAACACCATCCCAACAAAGGGACCTCTACTAAGTACTAGTGGGCATCAGACATGTCACCGCATGTGAATTCAATGACATGTATGTGGTAGTTACAACCCTAAAAAGGGAGAGAGAAGAGAACAGCCCACATAGTGTGAGCACCTGGCCTACTACCACCCCCGCAGCAGGTCACTGAGGCAGCTTGCCACAGAGAAGTGACCGCACTCTTCATGCGGGTCTTAGTCCCACAGCCTCTTGCAGTGTGAGCAGTGATGATTCTTGTACTACAAATAGCATATTCACACTTTGTGGCCTTTAAGTCCCAGCCCACTACCTTATCTGGTGCCCAGTGGAAAAAATCATGGTACTCTGTTCTTTCACTAGAAAAAAAATAACTGGTAAAGTGGGATTAATTGAGAGATGCTGTGTCTGTATCTTGAACTTTATGGCAATCAAGAGGATTTTCAAGGGCACGTTTTGGCCTTGTCTTGGCCCTTTGGAATATAACCCAAAGGAAACAGGCCAATGAGAAAACTTAGGAAGAAATTCTAGTCAGTAAATCAGGGTAGTAAACACCCAAGGGAAATCCCAAGTTTATCAGAACCAAGTAACAACGGCATCTCAGAAATGATGGGGTGGTGGCTGATCATGCTGCCTGCCATGTGGGAGACACAGACTCCAACAAATGGGCTCTTGGGAAATGCATGACTTCCAAGGGGTCCTGCAGAGTATGTGTTCAAAGCTGTCCAGAGCCCCCAGTCTTCCCATGGTGGTACTGGGAGTCAAACTCATGACCCTAAGAGTAGAAGTGCATTCAGAGTGACCTTGTACTAGTTTCCTGCTCTTACACTCTCCTAGGCAATGCAAAAGATTTCTTTCTTCTTCTTCTTTTAAGTGGCATGGTATTTGCGGAATCTAGACAACTTTGGCTAGGAAGTAGCTAAAAGGATTCTGTGAAGCCAGAGCATAGGATAGGAAGGCGTGGTCAAAACCTGACTACGTGCGAGAGGCAGGACTATTAAGACATGTAAGAAGTATAAAGTCTAGAACTGTAGAGGGTAAATGAGAATCTGGCAGGAGGAACATGGCAGAAGGGATTCCAAGATTGGTGTCAGGCATAATCTTGATGGGAGCTACATCAGTTCTTTCTGATCCCTCTCTGCTTAATAGACCTCACTACCTGGTTTGACAAAGAAGAACAGTAGCATTAAAAACCAAATCAAAGCACCTGAGTCATTTCAGATTCAGGACATCGTTTTTCAAGTGATTGACCACTGTGGTTAGAACTGCAGACTGTTACAGCACAGGTTGGGTGGGCTCCAAATGGGCATCCAGAGGGCATCAGACACGCCTTTGGTATTATTCTTGGCTCAGTGGGTACTTGGCTTCTCACTGGGCTCCCCCAAGACCATGTTTTAGGAGGCAGAGAAAGACAACCTCCAAATAGCACTCCAAGTTCCTTATTCCTCAGGGGTGGTGTGGACGTAACTGTGGAACTGTCTGGGATGAGAATCTGGATGCTTTAGAGCAAAAGTCCTATATTTAGCCTAGGGCTTGGTTTTCTCCTTTTTTATCTGTGAGGACAGGAGTGAAGGTCCCCTGGGTGGCCTCCCTTGAGCTATGTCACTGGCAGGGCCACCAGCAAGGAAGCATGCTCTGTCATAACCTTGAGAATTCAGAACACTTGAGCTTGACAGCCAAGGGGCAGCAATTCCCTCCTACTGCCCAGCAAACAGCAGGGCCTGCGTACAGCCTAGGCATCGCACACACTGACCCCACATGCGTATTCCATCTCAGCCAAAACCACTTTACGAAAATACAATTCTTTTGACACACGGTAATGAGAAAACTTTTCCCCTCCTATTTAATCATCAAAATGTTTCTGGTTTCAGGATCCATTTGAGAGATATTATCTCATTTATAAATTCATAAATAAGATTGTCTTTCTATTTCATGGTTGGTAATCTGGAAACAATTTTATGGTTTAACTAAATCACAGCAACTGGAAACTTATGCAGGCTTCTCCCACGATGAAATGTTATGAAGTGTGTTTTAGTGTGAAAGCGAAAAAAGAAACGCAGTGGGAGAAGAGGAATTAAATACAACCCTGTCATTTTATTGCAGTGGCCATTTTGTACGATAATCATCAGAATATTAAGACGCTTAAACTAATTCTTGCCAGTATCTTTTGGTTTAAGGTATTATAGGACTGGCATAATTACTGTTGAAAAGATGGTTTAAAAGTGGTATTATAAACCATTTTATACCTTTCCATAAACCATATTTATGTGATTAGTATGCACGGTTAACTAGTCATTTAGTGCCATAAGTCAGCCCAGCTGAATGTATCTTCTTTGGGCTCCAGCATAACCTTAATAAAAAATTCAAGTCCAATCCAGAGAAAGTGCAGATCCCAGGATTTAGATTCCTGTTTCTACAACCGGCTTCCCTGTGAGCCCCACATCTGTCTATGAGGATGAAGCAAAACCCAGACTACTCATGGTCTGCCTCCTCTGGAAGCTGCCTGCGGGGACATGTGTTCAGCCAGTAACTCCATCTATACTGTTTGATTCAAGTTTTCACCGGCAACATAGTTTTCATCTGTAGAGTTTGATTCAAGTTTTCACCGGCAACATTTTTGATGAGAGATGTGTCTTTGTACTGACCAAGGCCCCATTAAGTCTGAATTAAGTCCGTATCATTGTATATCTAAGTAAATTAATGGCTATTAAAAAACAAGTCAATGCCCCAACAAGTGTGAGACTGCTAATTCCCTTATAATGAATCCCTAAGGATATGTCTTGACTATCCAATGGAACTGGTAGGGAGCTGGCTACAACCAGCCAGCTGACCTGCCCTGACCAGCCTTCAGTCAAGCATTCACCTTCCTTGCCAGCTCCTGATGCTGAAACGCATCAGCGCTGGAGGGTCAGTAACCGCTGTAGGAGCCAGGCTGGCACTCAGAGAGTGCTTACTAGGTGGTCCATCAATCCACTTCTATTTCTACATTTTGTGATTTTTTTCAGTTGCTACTCATTCCCTGTCATCTCCCTCCCCCCAGAAAGTGATCAACTGTCAATGAGCCATCAACAAATGGTTCTGAGCATTTAATGTGTGCTAGGCGTGGTGCAAGCCTTTGTGGACACAGAAGTGAATAACGTGCCCTCCTTCTCAAGCAGTATCTTCCTTTCACAGAGTCGGTTCTCTTTTTTTTCTGGGAGAAATCTAAGTGAACTAAAGCCCTTTTGTCCTGACAGTGCCAAAGGCATTTTCCAGAACTGAAAACTGAACAGGCTTACGGCTAGCCTCTGCCCGCCCTTGCTTGCTCATGCCCTGATTCTCTGGTATGAGGAAAAAAAACCAGAGTAATTAAAGACACTGTTTTCAGAAGAATTCAGCAGAACACTGGAATTCAAATTATCTGAACTTGTGGTAAAGTTTCAAATAGGACTCTGAGCAATGACCCTTTTCTTTCTGTCCAATGTTAACCTATTGGTGAAAAAACTGTAAAACTGAAACTAAAAACATTCTTCCAAAACCTCCCAATAAATTTAGCTCCTCACTGAAATATCTAGATTTATGGAGGAGATATGGACAGAGTTGGTGGAGATGGCAATGGGGTCACAATGCTTTTGTATGCATTCATATTGTGCTCCTACCATTGTGTGCCGCTTTGGGGTAATGATCCTGACTTCTGCTTTTTTTATAGTCCTTAGATGAAGATGGGTCATGAGGGAATATCACTTATAACCCTGACCTTGAAGGCTGCTATCTCTCGCCTTGCCCTCTGCTCATGGAGAAGGAAGACTGGGTATTGTCACTTCACCCTACCATCTGTCTCGACTCCCCTGCTCCTGAATTCTGAATTACTCAACCAGAAGTTCCCTACCAGCATCTAGGAAATTCCCTCACATCCTTGGATGACACCAGCAGGGGAAGTCAGCCTCCTGCCCATCACATTACAGTCCATCCTCCTTTGCAGCTTCTAAAGACTGGCAACTTTTAAAAGACTGGCATTATAGATCTTCAAACTTTCCTTCACAGACATACTCTGACCTTAAATTCTTACTTGGTGTGGGTTTACCATTTAGATCTGAAACTCTAAAATCCCCTTTAAGTACAGCGATTACTGGTTATCGTTTGTTCTCTTGTACACACACACCAGCTTTTCACCTGCATCCTTACTTCCTGTATCCCCAGCCATCAGGACTGTCC